ACAAACGGAGAACACGCATTTTACACTCCATGCCTCTAGGGAAGAAACAATTATTTAAGAGTAATCTAAACCTACTTACCTTTGTAGAATATTCTTTTGGGCAGCCCATGTTGATATCGATACCAGCTACGTCACTCTCCCTGAAAGAAACAAAATGAATAATAAAAATGTGTTTCAGCATGTTAGAACAACAAGCAGGAAATACACATCTTGCCAGGAAGCCTGTTTCATCRTCATGGGGCTTACAGGAGAATTTAAGGCTAAAAACAAATCTGAACTTCTGATTTTTTAGCTTCTCACTTATTTAAGTTATATACCTTTTTTTAAGGATGGTTTGAACACCTGCCTGTGCACAGGTTTCAACTGCCAGCACTGTGAGGAGGTGTGGGAAGGCTGCAAGTAGTGGCTAATAGAGCTAATCATCTTAATTTGCATCTATTTGAAATGGAAACTTTTTAAATTGAAAAACACCTTCCAAAAAGGTGTGAAGTTTTTGTACAATACCTTGAGGGCTTCAAAACAAAAAGAATAAGAGACATTTCTGGGCATATTGGTCTACTTCCAGGTATCGCAATACCCAAAGAAACTACATTGGAAAGATCAAGGACACGCTAACTGCTCTAGTGAACAGCTGGCAATCCCAGCAAGGAAGTTATGCAGCAGTAGCTTAGAGGGAAAAAAATACATTAAAAAAAGTTAAACAGATGCTGCAGCAGACAGACAATTTAAATCATTACACCCTTGGCTTTTTTAGACACAGATCACTGCTACATCTTGCAATGCTGGTTACTCCTGCCACACTTCCCATAGAATTAAGTTCAGTGACAAAATCCTACCCATACCTATCTTGATCCCCTCCTAATCATTTTAATTTGTCTTCCGGGATAACTGCTTTGCACAGAAGACTCAAACACAGAGTAGAATAGGGCAGGGGGAGGAGATGACTTACACGAGCTTAGCTACTGCCAATGCTCTTTCAGCATCTGCTGAACCCTGATGGTGAAAGAGGAAGGATATAGTTACAAAATAGCATCAGGTGAATAAAATCTGTGTTCACTTGCAGGTGGGCGCAATTCTATTTGCTGTAAGCAATTAGTGCACAAAATTACAAAGTGACAGAGAAGCATTCACAGCAAAACAGCAAAAACATTTAGCTAAAGCAGGTATTAAGTTAACCACTGAATGACAATAAGTGAGGCAGAAAAGTATCTTGAGAGGTCAGTCCCCTCTCCTACCCTAGAGTACTGTCAAATGTTCTTAGCTCCTTATTTATTGATCCTTTTCTTAAGAATCTCCACTGACAAAGACACTACAGCCTTTGCAAGAAACATCTTTTAGCATTGACATTATCATTGAAAAGGGTCCTTCCCGATGTCTAATGCAGTCTGCATAGCTTTTTCATTATCTCATCCTACAGCCAGTGGAGTCAAAGAACCCTTCTTCTTCACCCTTCTTCTCCAGCAGCCTTTAATTATTTATGCAACATTTATCTGCATACATATCCTCTCTTCGCAAGACTAAGAAAGCCAGTGTTATCATCAGCATAATTTAGCTTTGGTACCTGTATGTTGGGAATTTTAGCAAAAATATCTGTTAAGAAAACAAGGAGCTTTCATAGAGCACATAATTGTAGTTAACTCTTTTGAAAACAGATATAGAGAGAAGTTTTAATTTAGCATTTAGGCTACATATGTCCAAATTCAGCATAACTTCACACCAAGTGGCTGCAGAAAGACTGCAGAAATTCTATCCCTACCTGAAACATTTTTGAACAGCTAATCTTCAATACAAACAGCTATTTAGACTCCATGAAAGCATGCAGTGTTGGCCTGTAGTGTTGGCAACATYAATCTGTGTTCTCAGAAGCGTACCTCCTGTTTGTTTCTTACCATCTGAAAGATAACGCAGTGTCTCTCCCTTTCACAAGTCCTGAAAACAACCCTTTCATTAGGTGCAACAAAGTCCACTGTGTCGAGGACATCTATATGAAATGAGAAACAGGCAAAACAGAATATTCTATGAGCCAGAACTATAAAGTCTTCCACTTTACAAGACCTATATCTGCTCATTCAGTGACCTGAGCTCTGCCTAATTGGATTCTACATATCAAATACATAAAAAATCCTAGTGTTCTGGTTTTTTTATATTCCGTTGAGCTAGTTTATACTCCTCTAATTTGTTTTATTTCTAATTCAGAGAGAGCATTCTAATTCAGCTAGGCTTTCTCTTTGAGCAGATCCATTTTGCTTTCAGGAGGCCCAGTGTACGCAACCTGGCTGAAGGAACAGAGAGCACTCTCAGCAAGTTCACTGATGATACAAAACTAGGAGGAATAGCTGAGACACCAGATTGTTGTGTTGCCATTTACAGCAACCTCGACAGGTTGGAGAAATGAAGGGTGAAGGAAAAAAAAAAAAAAAAAAAAAAAAAAGAACTCTTACAAAGTTGAGTAAACTAAAATGCCAAATTCTCCACCTGGTGTGAAATAATGCAATGCATGAGTACAGGCTGAGGGCTGACCAGCTGGAAAGAAGCTCTGCAGAGAAGGACCTGGGAGTCACAGGTACGACAAGCTGACAGTGAGTCAGCAAAGGGCTCTTGGGGCCAAGGCAAATTGTATCCTGGGTTGCAGTAGGAAGAGCATTGGCAGAAGGTGGAAGGAATGTGATTCTGCCCCTCTACTCAGCCCTGGTGAGGCCTCACTTCACAACACGCAATTCACCAGTTGTGTGTTCACTTCAGGGCTCCCCAGCGGTAGAGAATGGAAAATTTATCCTCCACTAGAATAAAATAATGCTTAAAAGGATTAATAAAAAGGCTATACTTGCCATTTACGACCCTCTTACACTGCAGCATCTTTATGTCAATCAGCTCCTGAGAACAAAGAAAAAAAATAAAGTATGTAAGCTATCCAGTTCTTGATAATTGTCCCATTTTATTTAACACATATAACTATCTGAAGATACCAAGTATTATCTATAGAAAAGGAATGCAAATGAAGAGTTAAGTTACACAACAATGCTGAACTAGAGCTTTAAAATGTGAACAGAAAAATGAGAAACATTTTTTGAAGTTGTAGAAGAAAACTTGTTCAAACATGTATCTAATGAGCAGAGAACAAAAAGATCATTTGCCAAAAGTGGAAAGGAAAGATAACTCCRTACTACAATAACAAGATGTCCTCAAGAATTGATCTGGATTTGTACTAGGCAAATACRTAAGTGAACAAAATAGTAAGATAAGGTTTAAAGATGTTAGACCTTTATCCTAAGATGTTAAGGTTTCTCTGCATTTGGTAAAAGTCAGAAACTGACTTCAATGCTAGAACTCTCCTTCAAAAATAAACAGCTTTACATAACAAAATTGCTATAGTGAATGCTTGGGCTAGGTGAATGGAAATCACAAAGTAGTCTTAAAGCACGAGTCAGGTACAATTTGAGCAGTGCTCAAAGGAYGATATATCAAGTCACGGAGATTCTTCTTACCCTGCTTTTCTAATGAAAAGCATATATAAAAAGAAATAAGCATTGCAATGAAAACAAATCAAAGGAAACATGTATTAACCATGCCCTCGAGTGCGATTGCCCCCTACCTACCTCGCAGTACACTATATCAGCACCATAATCGAGAGCAAGCAGTCGCATCGGCAGCGTTCCGACCCGCACCATGGGCGCCAGGATGCTCTTCCCTCTGAAGCACAGCGGCGTGTTCACCGTCATTCCCGGGGCAGAGCTACCTGCAACAGAAAAGCGAAGAAGGGCAGGGTGAGGAGTTCGGAGGCGGCSTTTCCTCCTCCCAAACGCGCAGACCAGGCTTCCCACGAGGGCTACCGCTGTGCCCCAGCGGCAGGGGCCCCTCCGTCTGACCGGGGCGAGTCACCAGCGCACAGGCTGACGCCGACCCTGCTCCGGCGGCCGTCGCTGCGGGCGCCGCGGCTCCCGGGGACGGCTGTGCCGCTCCCCCGGCTCGCGGGGCACCCCCGCGACGTCCGGCAAGCGGCAGAGAGACCCCCGCGGGGCCCTTCTGTCTGCCCCCGGATCCGGGGGCTCAGCCGCCTGCTGAGGAACGGCCGTGCCCCGCAAACCACCGCCGCGCGCAGCGCTCACCGTCCCGACGCGCGCCCGCCGCGGCTCCCGTGGAGGGGAGGGAGGCGCCGCCG